GCACTGACGACATGGATAGGTACGTCAATGATCTTATTAACAGCATATCAACGGTCAATGTTGGAACAACGACCATAGAGACCCCGCTGACCCACCTATTGGCACTGATAGAGCTTCAAGGACTCGAGATAACCCTGAAAACCTTGCGTGGTACAAAAGCGGCGCAAGAGAGCAGACTGGTTGCATTCCAGCAGTTGCTCGAGGGCTATCGTGAAGGGCTCGGGCGCCACACAACGGCCGAGCGAGCAGACCTAATTGAGCGTGAAATGCAAAAGGCCGAAGAGCAGCTCGCAGCAACCCAAAACAGCACCGACTCCCTTAACCTATAAATCCAGACACAGATCCGCCAAATCCGCGAGACTTTAATAAGGATCTTAGGCAGAAACACAAGCCTGGCTGAGCGGCTGCAGACCCTGTTCCGCGAGCAGGGAATCACCATAGTCAGCATTATATTATAAACCGCGCTGAGCTTTATCATCAGCACTGGTCCTTGCCGTGACTGGAGGAGGCACTGCAGCGCGTGCAGCACCTGGTCTGAACGGGGACTGAGGCTGCTTTATGATCATTTTTTGGTCAGGAAAGCTGCTGCGAGCCTTCATTGGGGGTGGGGCGGCTCTATTTTCTTGGTGCATTCGCTTCCCCTACTGTTAGCGGAGACTAGCGAACAAGCGCACAGGGCAGAGCTTCGCATGCCCCCAACGTTAAGAGTTGGTCAGTCTTTTTACGAGAATTTTGTTTGGCGAGAATTTTATCTTGCGAGTTACAGTTTGTTTTGCTAGTTACATTTTTGTTTTGAGGGTTACATTTTTGTTTTGCCACTTTCAATTTTGTTTTCGAGATTTTCTTTTTTACTTCTTTTCAAACAATAATAGTAGTTTGTTTTGTCATTTTTGTAATAGATTTCTCTTTTGTTTTCATTATCAGTTTTTTCCTCTCTTTTTACTCTTTCATTAATCTTTTGTTTGAATATTTATATTTTCTGGCTGATTCTGATTTTTTCTGTTTTATTCTTATTCGTTTTCTATTAAAAGTTATTTTTGTTTGTTTTTTTTATTTACTAATTTTTATAATTTGATTTGGTTTTTTGTTGTTTCTTTATAATTATTTTTTATCTATTTTTATTCATTGTTCTTAATTTTAGTTCTTTCTTTTTGGGTTTATTTTCAAAATATTTCTTTAGTTTATTTTGTTAATATTTAAAATCTCATTTTGTTTTTATTTTTCGTGTTGTCTTGTTTGCCCCGATGGCCACCCATATTCCCCTTGGTGGAAACCTACCTCTTGCTTCATTCCTTGGATGTAATCACATTGGTCGCTGTCATGCACAAGTCCCAGCCATAGCTAGGGAGGACAGCCCGTACTGCGGCCCTAACCCGTGCATGCTTGAGAGGACATTTGCACTGACAGCAAATCCATCGTGTTTGGTTTGATATTGCAAATGTCTTTTGGCATAAGTTGATTTCAATTAATTTTGATTTAACAACAATGGTGCATGTCATAGGCATGTTCTTTTGCTTTTCTTGGCTTCATAAGATTGAGTTTTTGATTTGTATTTTGTTACATCAATTTATTTGCAATGATTTGTAATTATTGATTTGACAAGAGCGACTCAAAAGTGTAACTATCTACGACGCCTTTTTATATACTGTATGTTAATCGATTACCCAAATTTACCTGCTTTGGAATTATTGAGTCACTGATAGTGTGGATCAAACCTGAGTTTAATTCAGTTCGAATCATTGAGTTAATTGAGTTCCTTAATTTGAGAAGTCTCTTCCGAATTCCTTTCTTTTACTCAGTAAATACTGTATTATAATCTCAATTTAATTTACATATTATTTTCATATTGAAGAAATTTGTTTTAGTTATATCTACTCGTTTCAATTCACTACAGGGTTTCGTTTGTTTAAGAAAACTTTTTGACGTAATGAAATTTCTGAATGGCTATTTATCATTGTCAATTAAAAAAATAACATAGTTTATTTAATCGAAACTTTCAATTCCAGCCCTCTCTCAAAATTTTGCAAATCATGCTGACCACGGGTTGGGAGACACAAATTCGAAAGAAGCCCTATTCACATCTTTACCTGAGATACTAAAGTAGAACGATGCAATGTGGGATGGAAAGTTAATTGATTACCCCATCGTGCAGGGCAGATCCAGGATCTTTGTTGGGGTCCGGAAAAATGTTGTTCGGGTGGGGGCTCTTCATCTACAGAGTTTTGGAAGTGTCATCCTATACGTTATTATTCTGATTATCCTGATTATTTTTCTTGGGATGAAGACATCATAAAGGCAAGATTTCGACATTCTGAGATAATGACAACGTCGTTAAAGGTGGATGACGACATCCCAAGATTGTTCATCATAGAATGACATCATAAAAGTGAAATAATGACAGTTATTTGTCAATGGGTGCATTTACAAACCAATGCACAGGTAGCATGAGGTGTTACTTATAATGTCTTATATTTGCTGGACGGATAACAAAGTAAACGCAAAAGAGACTGCATCTATGGAACGTATGCCTCGTATATGGGTGCAGTCCACTAATTGAAATGAGAATTTCTGGCCAGCTCATTGGCATTAAAAGTGCCCCCCCCCCGCAGTATCTTTTGAAAAAGAAGATTGTTTGCCCCCCCCAGATGTTGACATTGTGTAAATCGTTGCCAGGATCAACTCCCTGGGTCTTTGAGCTTTCATACGATAGCAGAATGGCGAAAAAAAAATACGGTTGAAAAATGGTTCCCGAGAAAGTTGCCCGAGAAAGTTGAGGGTTGCCACTTGAAAAAAGGCTGCAATCAGACATTGGAAAAATAACTTTTCAGGGGTGATTTTGTTTTGTAGGAATAATTAAAAATGTGATGTGGTTTACACCACAAAAAATTGAAAAGATATTGAAAGATTAGCGACCAGACAATAATTTAATTTGTGTTTCGGAAATCTCACGGATGGTTTCAATGGGGCTTGAATTAGTGGCCTGTACCCTATATTGTGCTTTTCCTGAACCAAAGTCAAAGGTTATAGACACACTAATTGCTGGATTACATGTAAAAAAGGTGCGATATAAAATCACTATAAATAGAGCTGAAAACATGGCATTCCTCCTATCCTATATAAAGCCTCTTGCAAGACTGACAGTACTGCAGCTTGTGATTGATATAAAGTATTAAAAATAGAATGCAAAATAAGTTTCAGAAACCTGTGTTTTCCTTCAATGTCCAAGGGTTCATAATGGCCGAAAGTCCAAGTGTTCAAACAGATATCAGCAGTTCAAATAAGTCAGTGGAAGAATTCCACTGAAAATCATCCAGTCTGAATGTTTTTAAGCAACATTATACTGTTCAAATTTGTCGCAATATTAGAAATCACAACATTGTTGTGCTTAGTTGGAGGCAATGTAAAATGCTCCAAAACTGTTGTTTGAACTGAACAGACATGTGAACAATAACTACATGTACATGTACCTTTTTCAATACTGAACGCATTTTTTTTATTGAAGATTAACTGAACATTGGAGAGCAGCGCTTACTAGCATTTCACTCTCTCTCCGGATCTTGACCATTCTTCAGCTCCAATGAAATGCTTCCGGCGCTCAGGCATGCTATGATTTCGTGGGGGTACTGCACCTTACAGGTCGAGCTACATGTATCTAGTGTGTATCAGGTTTGATACTGATCTCATCGGAGTCATACGGCTTATGGTTGATTGTCTGGTTGATTGACGGTGCATTCTTGGGCTTCAAGCGTTTGAAGAAGGATGTGTTTCAGGTGATGGTGCTATTGTCATTACGGGTGGCTGCGAGCATGAATCCCTGGGCATTTTGTCAGTGGTTTGAGTTCGTATGGTGTCATGGAGTACGCGATCGCCATATTTAAATTCGTGTTTGCTCATGGCATTCTTTCAGTCATCATGTTGTTTCATGCGTTCCTTACTCGCTGCATCGTTTGGCTTTGATGTCTGGGTTGCTCCAGTTTGAAGGATTTTCTGGTAGCTTGCAGCGGAAAGGAGTGTGTGAAGAGTAGTGATGCTGGTGGGACTCCAGTTATGCTGTGTGGAGTGGTATGGTAGTTTCATAGACATGCATACATTGCTTGTCTCAATGAACTGCCTTTTTCTTTGGCAGTGCGACACACTTAGAAGTTTCGCATCATCCTTGCAACCTAGCCATCAGCTTGCGGCCAGATGGGAGTGATTTTGTGGTGTTTGAAACTAATGTACTTGGCATTGATGCTGCAAATTCTGCGCTCTGAAATGGAGGGCTGTTGTCTGAACGAACGACTTAAGGACTGCCAAAATTGTGAAGATTCTGTCAAGTTTAGGGATAACAGACTTCGCTGATGTGGAGCTTGTGATTTCTGTCTCAGGATACCGACTTTAGTTATGAACTACAACCATTAAGTAGTCACCTGTTGGCAGTTCTTTGAAGTAAATGATGAGATGTGACCAGGGAGCATCTGGTAGTTGTGACATGTGAAGAGGTTCGCTTGTCTGTTTCCACTGTTGATGCTTGATAGGGCAGACATTCAAATACATTGTTTTCAACGAGCGTGTCTCGTCCAAGGATCCAGACTTTCTCTCTGGAAGTTGTTTGAGTTTTACCATGCCTTTATTAATAGCCTTCAAGAGCAATGTCAAATTACTCTTTTTTTGGAGCGAATGAGGATGAAAATGCGATCACAAAGTAGAAGGTCGTCAGTGTTATTTACACTGAGTTCAAGGAACTCATGGAACATGCTATAGACAGATTGATTCCAAATGTTAGTTTTTGTGGCATTAATGGCATGCTGAAGAAGTTGGTCATTATTTGTTGTGTTATGGCTTTCAGGAGGGTTAGGGATTTCGGAACAAAATTGTGGATGATGAAGTTGATGTGCTCTTCAGCATTGGCTCTGGCTGACGAGCACGGGTGTCGTGAGAGATAGTCGGCAGGATGGGACTTTCCTTGCTTGTAGGCCTAGTGAACTTTGAAGCTGTATAGCTGCAGCTTCAACAGCCATCTCTCAATTCTAGCAGGCGGATTAGAGTAGTTGTAGTTGAACATTGGAAGATGAGACTTGTGATAGGTGGTTACAGCACAGTGCTGCCCAACAAGTACAGATGGAAACGGAGCACACCCCCACGTAACTGCAAGGGCTTTTCTCTATGTCTGTGAGTAGCGTTGGTCAACTGCATTAGTGAACAGCTGGCAACACGCGTACGTCATGTCCAACAAGAACCGCACACAGTCCAACGGTGTTTGCCTCAACAACATTTACTGTACGGTGGGCCGGATTGAAGTATGCGATTTTGCAGTTGTCAGTGATAGACTGTTGATTTTGTCCATGGCCTCTTGTTGATTGCTCCATGTCCATAACGCTGATTCCTTGGTTAGTGCGTTAAGTGGTTCGGAGATGTGGCCAGCTTAAAACGGTATGAATCCAGCCCAAGTGCGTGGCCAGTCCAAAAACTCCGAAGCTCTTCTTTGTTGGTCGAGTACAACTTCAGATAGTGCTTTCATTTTCGGCTAGGAAATTGGTGCAACACCCCTCAGTAGAGAAGATGTGACTAAAGAATTCAACACTAACTGTGTTGAATTGGCATTTCGCTTCGTTGAGCGTGGGATTTTTCTCTGAACGCTGTTGACGTACCAGGTTGTCTCGATGTTCATCAGTAAGAATGTGATGTTTTAAGCACACCAGGCAAACCAGCCAATGCAGACTGGATGAGATTCTGGACCTGTTCAGCACCACTGTTGATCCTGAGGTTGAGTCGTTGAAAGATAACCCAACACGTGTGGAGAATGTGGTGAGACACAGTCTAGTTCCAGTCTCGAATGCTGACAGTGTTTCTGTTGAGGAGCAACTCTTCTGTGGGTCTTGAGTCGTGCTTTCGCTGGGAATGCGTTCGCATTGCCTGCACAGAATTCTGAACATGGCGTCTTTGTTGTGCCCGCGCCCTGGTCTATGTTCAACTCAAGTTGGAAGTCATAGTCCACCAAAACTTATATGCCACTTGCCTGACCGGTTCCTTGAACACCATGGTCAGTGCGGGTTATAAGCTTCTGTCCATCAAAAAACAACAAGAGGCAGTAAACATTTAGTTACGAGTCGGCACAGTAGTTTCTTTCGCTTTTCGTCCGAGACCTACTCGCGTACGCTATCACTTTATCGGCTCCGTACTACTAAGAGAGAACAGTACCACCTCGATTCTGAGATCGCTAGCATCTGTAGGCCTATCTAGAATTTTTTCCAGTCTTCTCCTCTTAAGGTGCCATACGCCGAGAAAACGAGATGTGGGAAAATTGCACTGTGTCACCTTACATTAATCTGGCCAGGAATGACTTCACTTTATTCGGCATAACTTTTTTACCCCAACCTCAAATGCAGCATTCATCTCATTACTTAAACTGATGTTTTGCCGAAGGAATAATAAATATGTGGGTGTCGCAAATTTCATTTTCTTGGCGGACTCAATCTGATATCTTCTCCTCTTAAGGTGCCATACGCCGAGAAAATGAGATGTGGGAAAATTGCACTGTGTCACCTTACATTAATCCGGCCAGGAATGACTTCTTTCTAATGTCTTCTCTCTAATCTCCGAGAGTTATGACCATTTCATTAGACCTGAACTATTTTATTCAGTTTTGATGCTAGAAATTCTAAATATCCGATGTAATTTCTTGAAATTGTATAAGAAAAGAAAAAAAAATGCTACAAAATGCCGACGTAATTATTCGCCCCGGCCCTGGATGCTAAAAGTACGGTTGATACTATTGTAATGGAGCTCAGTGGGGGCGCGCTTTACGCCCCCACACAGTTTAGAAATACTTTTGACTCAAAAAAACTTTCGCAGTTAAAATGTGCCTTTAGGGGTCCAGTCCACTAATTCAAGCCCCAT